CTTCTTGGGTTAAAGCAAGAATTATGGCATATTATTGCAGCTGTGATTAATGTGACTCAGACACATCAGAAGATTCAAGAACAAAGATGGGGCTAATGGAGTCTAAAATGAGACTTACAAACACCAGCTTAGCAGACACTGAAGTCCCCTTCTATCTGGCTGATCATGTTAATTAAATTTCAAAATATGCCCATATTTTTCTACTCCTGTAACATCATGTAACCATTAACAGAACAGGCACTTTTTGTTAGATTTTGCAGCTCTGTCCTCAAATCAGGAAACGAAAATGTAGTTCTCATTTGATAAACTGTCAGGCACTACTTTTAGCTGCAACCCTCAAGAAACGGAGAGGAGAGGAAGGGTGTCTCAACTGAACCAAATTATTTCTAATGTAACACTTGCATTTTAAATAGCTATGCTAAATATGGCACTGAAGGGAAAAAAATAATCTTCTTTTTTTCTAATTCAGTTGTTTTAACAAAGAAAATTAAATGCAGCATGTTACCTCTATTGTTTGTAATGAAAACAGTACCCCTGGACTCATAATTTCTGATACTGGCAATCCAGTCACTTCACATTTATTTTGATGCAATAGGGTAAAATTTTCAAAAGTACTTCATGGAGTTGGACTTAAAAAATAGTATTAAAATTCAGTGAGATGTGCAGCCTCTTAAGATGTCAGTTCATCCTCTGTTTTGAAACATTCTCACTGCAGGCAAAATGAGCAAGATAAAACTTTCCAGAAATGTGCAAAGATGAGCATATAATTAAGTCCATCTCTTGATCTGAAATTGGAAATAATTTCACTTGATTTATGAACAACAATTATTCTCTGGTAGTCTGATACTATACAGAGCTATAAAAAATTGTCATTTAAAGGGAAAGAAATTACAGTTTGAAGTAATTTCTCATTTAAAGGGAAACAAGGTACAGTTTAAAGTCAATAGTATGTACACAATAATTTTATTTTCCACATTTCAGTTTCTTTCTTTTCAGTTCCTCCAGACATAAATTGTTCCCTTATATTTTAAATTAATATATCAAGTGTAAAAATTAAATTTCTGTGAGCTCATGTTAACCAAGAACGATGTGAGTCTGTCATATCCCTGTGAGCTGTCACGATTTCAGTCTGTAGCCTGGCCTAGAACTGCATAAATGGGCTAAGGGCTTCTGAGCCCCTATCAGCTTGTTCCAAAGCAGAAATGAAAACAACTAGAAGAGAAAAATGAAGGTTGGTAACACTTGATAGTCAAACACAGGAAGTGTCTGAGATGATTCACAGCTGAGTAACCCACACTGTGCAAACAAGATGCCCATGAGAGCCTTCCACCCAAAATTACAAGCTCGAGCTGTCAAAACATAGCAAAACATTTTATTGCTGGCTCCTAATAACTTATGTCCTCTTCAGTAATTTGAAAGCTCGCCTATTCAAATATGCCCCTCAGTTCTGGCAGGCATGCAAAGAGGAAATCATGAAATTCTGTCACCTTGGGCTCTTCTTAATGTCCACTGCAATTCTCCTCTCTGTCCCATGAATTATTACAGGTAGCTTTAAACCTTTCTTTGTACAGAATTATCTGCAAATTCTATTTCTCTGGAATGGTATTTTCTTTCATCCTGAAGTGTCTTGTTGAAACAAGGCATTTGTTGAAAATGTAAGTTTTCATTTCTTCATTGAAACAGCTACTGGCACGCTTGCTTTTACAAATACAGATAGTTACTGGACTATTTAATTTCTTTTATCAGCCTTCTGTGTGTGACTACACAGAGATTAAAATCACAGGACAAAATTCTGTATTGAAGCAGTAGCAGTGGTTTCCCTTGAACCCACAAGAAAACCGCAATTATCCTCCCAGAACTCTCAGCCTACTAATGCTGGGAAAACAAATACATGAATTTGTCATCGTTCCATTTAAACTAAAACGTTAATTTTATTTATAGGTTATAATTAACTCCGGTGGATGGAGGGATATCTAACATCTTTGTTCAGATTAAATATCAAAATATCCTATGCTTACCCTCCCATGACATGTATGTAGGGATTGCCAAGCATGAAAAAGGAAATGACAATAAGCAAGAGTTTTTTTTACTTCGTGTTCAGTGACCTTCTGTGAAGGGAATTCAACAGAAGGAAAATCAAAGGGGTAACCAATTCAGAAACTGTTGCATTGGAAGTGAACACACACAGAGAATACATCAGAGCACTAATGGACAGTCTTTGAGGAGAGTTCTCCAGAGGATGGATGGCTTTGCCTTCTCCACTGCAGAGGGCAGGGAGGATAAGGTGGTGAGTTCGATGAGCTGTGCAAACGCTGCAGTGACAGGAGCCACGGGAGCACCACACAGACACAACTCAGAGCACCTGGCTGAGCGAGCTGCAGGGCCCGGAGCTGCAGATTTACCTACACACACAGCCAGCCACCGAAACACACTGTGGCTCCAGGAACTCCTCCAGCAGCTGAGTAACTGAGCATGCACAGTGATCAGTCCTCAAACCATCTCCACACAGCACATCCACAGTAAACCTTTCGTATCGAGATCTCAAAATACAGCTTCACTTCTACGGTGTTCACTAGATCTGGACAAAAAGGAGTGTCTATGAAAATGAGTATTTCCCTGAAAAGGATGGATAAAGCCACCGTTTTGAAAGTAACAATGTGAGTAATAAAATATTGTAGCTCTACTCATGAGACACCTTGTTCTCAAATACTCTCGTCCACGTAACATGACTGGGAAGCAATGGTTGTCTCTGGTGGTGTTACAATACAGGAGGTTGTGATTCCAAAGGCAAACACAGAGGTAACACAAATACCACTGCAAGCTGGGGATGCTCACCCTTTATTCTGCTGGGTTTTACAGTAAGACAACAGAACTTGTGGAACAGAAACACACCTACACTTCGTCCATCTAGGAATGCATCGTTCAGAAAAAGGAAACTACAAGTTTCAAGAAACGATTTTAAAACAAGGGATTGAATTTCAGAAAATTTTAGCTGTGTGTGAGGATGGGTAAGGCATCAAATTTGCAGGAGTAGACTCAAAATCCAGGTAAAGAGAATCCTTAGTCATCCAGGCGCATGCTGTATTTAAAAAGCAGCATGACAATATTTGTTGGCTGATATTAGCAGAGAGAGGATAAATTACTTGACGTGTGGCAATGAAACTGCTTAAAGTTACAGAAACTCAATAAAATTTCCTACTTGAAATAGGGATGTATGAAAAATAAGATCAGGCAGCATTTGAAACTGAAGTGATGTACAAAAAGCTGGCAGAGAGAATTACTGGAGCTGTCAGTCAGGATGCACATCAGGGATAGTCAGGTCATTCCTGACAGCAAAACCTGACTCTGAAGTCACAGCATCGTTAAGGTTGGAAAAGTCCTCTCAGATCGTTGAGTCCAACCATTAACACAGCCCTACCGAGTTCATCACCATGACATGCCCCCAGTGCCAGATCTACTCGCCTTTCAAACACTCCCAGGGTTGGTGACTGCAGGGAGCTGCAGCCAAGCCACTTCACACCTCATCATTGCAGTCCCCTTGGTAAGGGACAGCTCCTGGGACAGGACAAACTGAAGCCATTCCCACAGCCTGGGTAAGGGCCCCTTGCCATGGTTAATTCCTCCCTCAGGTGGAACAAACTCTGGCCGTGCATCACCACTGCTCTCCAGCCCCACTAGCAGCTCCCACTCTGCAGCAGGTGCTTCTCAGCAAACAAGCTCCAATTTCCTCCCTCCTTCCCTGCGTATTGGCACAACTGGAAATAGGATTAAAATCGTGAGGGAATTTTTGTATAAAAACACACAAACCTGCACTTACAGATACTTCAAGTAAAGTCACCTCTGCCTGTGATGGGTAACCGAGGATTCTTGCTTTGCACTGTAGGCAACCCAGACACAAGTGAAGGGTTTCTTTAATGCACAAAGCCCTAACACTAGTAAGTCCTCACACATTAAACTAAGAAGGCAAAACGCAAGTCACACCCTATCCAGAACTAAGCACTGACATTGGAGAGATGCAATGGAATGCACAATTTCCATTTCACTTTTAGTGTGATTTTTACCAGACTTCTTTAAGTAACCTTCTCTGAGTAAGGGGTGGAGTCTCATTACACACATTTTGGAGCAGACTCGACAATGAATTGTGATTCAGACAGCATCCCAATTCATTTCCCAGTTCAGTTCTTTTTCCAAAGTAATGAAATGCTACTGGACTATAATATATGACTTAAACAGAATTACCAATTGGTCTCACATTACCCTTCTACTCCTTGCACACCTGGGCGGCAGAATCAGTTACAAAATTACAGTGAGAAAAAGTCAAGTAAAATATCTTTTTAACCCAGTCCTTCAGGAGCAACAAAATAATATTAAAGTTTTAGGACAACAGAGACTTGTAGAGGCTGTCCTCTGAGCCAGCTCTGCAATTCTTCCTCGTGAGGGTCAAGGTATTCTCACAGTATACAGAGAGTAGGTAGTTGCTGCATTTACTGCCCAGTGGTATCAGTGGGTTACCACATTCTCTCCCCTGCCTCAGTTTTACAGCCAAATTCCTTTTACTATTATTTGCTGTTCAGGTTCCTACTGAACCACCTCCCTGAGAACTTCTATCAGATTCCAATAAACTACAATTCCCTCACAACTGCTTCCAGAAACATAAATGCGTATTTTAGCTGCCAAATGAAAAAAAAAAACAACCAACCAAACAAGAAAACCCCCTCAGCAAGTAAGGAGCTGATCAAGCTTAGAGTTCAATGCCTCTCAGTGGCTCTTCTGGTTCTTGCTTAAGTTCCTGATGTTACCCACTTTCTCCTTTGTAGACAAAATGTTCTATCTCGCTGACATCTCACTTTTTTTATTTCCTTTATGAACAAATTATTTTCCTAGAATGGAAAAAGTGCCCCTTAGTGAAGATGGATAATGAATAATTAATGTTTCACCTTTTCTCCAGTTTCACCTGGCTGTCAGAACTGCTACCTGTAACACTTCTTACTAAAACACAGTGTACCATAAAAGCATGAAATCTGAACATAAATGTTTCTCCTAAGTCTCAGAATTATTAAGCATCCTCCTTCACAAGGCTCAGCCAGTTCCATGAATATGATCCTAAAAGTGACAATAAAACTTTCACTTTACTTGCATGAACTCTCATTGTACTTGTTTCCACCCTGAGCTGAAGGAAGAGGCAATGCTACCCCTCCTACACTGAACATGCCAGGAACGCCTCATATTAAGTGATCAGCAAAGAGAATTAAAATGAAGCCAGACATAAACGGAGAGCTTATCCAGGCAAGTACTGAAAATCTTTCTTCCTTTCCCCAGCACAGCCCTGTGTGTGTGACCCTGTCCCCACCTCACTGACCTGTTTGGTGCAGGTGATCTCTGGCCAGCTCAAACAGCCGCAGGTGCATGTTTGTGATGGGGTTAAAGGAGCCACAGGCCAGAAGGATGACAGGGATCCTGCTCTTCATCCTGACAGCAAAACATTAAAACTTCACCCTACAGAGAACAAAAATTAAAATAAAAGACAAACTTGACAAAGAGAAGCCCCTGCCCCTTCCTAATCTAAAAGAAGCAGAACTGTGTATTCGTGGAGCATCAGTGACACAGCAGGAGATCAGGCCAGTGTATCATCACAGCACACAGTGAGTCCCTGCTCAGAAACACCTTCTTTGTTATTAGTGAGGAGAACATCAACACATTCTCTTTCCCCATGTACAGAGATGGCTACAAAGTACTTCTAGAAATTCATATTGTCATTG